CCCAGCCCGACACTGCCCTCTAGCGGCCGCGGGAGGAGCCGGACGAGTTTTCGCTGCCCTCAGGGGGCGGCTGCACAGCCGCGCTAGGAGGGCTGGAGCCGCTTCCCTGCCCCCCCCTCCCGCCCGAGTGTGGTCAGCCCCTGGCCTGGTGGGTGTGAACACCCGTTTGGGTGGATGATGGAGCGGTGAGGTGAAGCGGCTGCTCCTTGCCTGAAGGTCTCGGGGTCTTTGGGAGAGAGGCTGGTGCCCGACATGGATCCTCTTTTCTTTTCTTGAGAGTTGTGGCTCACTCTCGGGCAGTGCCGCCCTTTCTCCTCAGTGTTATCTAACACCTGGTACAGGTTGGCTATTGGGGCTCTTGAGTTGGTTTGCTTGGTTTGTCAGCTCTGGAGCAGAGGGGGAGAAAACCCCTAGGCACTTGCTACTGGTTTGATGTTTTCAGGGGCATGAAAAGATCTTTTTCTAGATAAGAACAATGTATCCAGCCATATATTTGATGGAGTAAGGTGGCAGTGTAGGCAGTGTCTTTTTTTTTCTTTTTTTTTTAAACAAAACCCCAAACAAAAAACGAGTTGAGTGACAGCATCACAGTAACATTCTCCTTAGTAGGACTTTAAAATTTTTGCTTATTTCATTTCTGGGGACTGCCTGTGCTTTGCTTACTCCCAGGGGTGTAGGTTGTAGCTGTGTTGGTTGAAAGACATTTGCTCACTCCCAGGCTTTACAATCTCAGGAGTTGGTGCCGAAGGGCCCGTTCTGCTATAAAAGGGAATTCCAGCTGGGAGTCTTGTACCAGGAGAGTCTGTTCTGGATGTGTTTGTTTCTCGGGTCTCATTTACTCCTCCCTCCTGAGAAGTACTGGCAGCAGTTGGTTAAATGAGTGACCAGCTGCAGATGAAGCATGTGTGCCTGGCTTATTTTTAAGAGCCATTTTAGACCAGTGCAATATATCATTCCTTCCACAGATATGCCGGAAGCTGTGCAGACTCAAGACCAACCAATGGAGGAGGAGGTGGAGACCTTTGCCTTTCAGGCTGAGATAGCTCAGCTGATGTCCCTGATCATTAACACTTTCTATTCCAACAAAGAAATCTTTCTAAGGGAGCTGATTTCCAATTCCTCAGATGTAAGTATTCATTGTTATCTTTTTGCTGTCCAAAGATCCCTCTCCTTGAATGTTCAGGGACAGGACTGAGAGGCCTAAATGTTGCTACTATTTTTTTATAGGCGCTGGACAAGATCAGATATGAAAGCTTGACTGACCCAAGCAAGCTGGATTCTGGAAAAGATTTGAAAATTAACCTTATTCCCAACAAGCATGATCGTACCCTGACCATTGTGGATACTGGCATAGGGATGACTAAGGCTGACCTAGTGAACAACCTTGGTACTATTGCCAAGTCTGGCACCAAAGCCTTCATGGAGGCACTGCAGGCAGGTGCTGATATATCTATGATTGGCCAGTTTGGTGTTGGTTTTTACTCTGCCTACTTGGTTGCTGAGAAAGTGACAGTGATCACAAAGCATAATGATGATGAGCAGTATGCTTGGGAGTCTTCAGCTGGGGGATCCTTCACTGTCAGGCTTGATAATGGTAAGTTTTTGGTTTTTGGGGGATTTTTTTTTTTTTTAGTTCTTTCTATATTTGTGGCTTCAAGATTGCAATGTTTGTAAGTTTCTTCACTGATCAGACAACTTTGTTGGGTTTTTTTAAGCATTCTATAAAAAACAACTCATTTCTGTATTTTAGGGGAACCTCTGGGCCGTGGCACTAAGGTTATTCTACACCTTAAGGAGGATCAGACTGAGTATTTGGAGGAAAGGCGAATCAAGGAAATTGTGAAGAAGCATTCTCAATTCATTGGCTATCCAATCACGCTCTTTGTAAGTATTTTCAAACTGTATGTCTTAGTTATTACTGTTTCAGATAGCCCCATTATAAAAATTCCAACTACTGCAGAGAGCTACTCTAACCCATATGCATTCATTCCTATTCCCTTGAACACTAAATAAGGTTATGGCAAGAACTTCAAAAACAGACCTCAGGAGAGTTGGTGAGGGAGTTTGAGTGCATGAGGAGGTGGCTGGTGATTTTTACCACTAGGAGTTTTGACAGAATTGTTCAATATAACGAAAATGTCTATTTAATTTTTTTTGTAATCTTTTGGTAGGTGGAGAAAGAACGTGATAAGGAAGTGAGTGATGATGAAGCAGAAGAAAAGGAGGAAGAAAAAGAGGAAAAGGAAGAGAAAACAGAAGACAAACCAGAGATTGAGGATGTTGGCTCTGATGAAGAGGAAGAAAAGAAAGATGGAGACAAGAAGAAGAAAAAGAAGATCAAGGAAAAATACATTGATCAGGAAGAGCTGAACAAGACCAAGCCCATTTGGACCCGGAACCCAGATGACATCACCAATGAGGAATATGGAGAATTCTACAAAAGTCTGACCAATGACTGGGAAGATCACTTGGCAGTGAAAGTAAGTTCTGAGGGGCCTGGAGCAGCATCCAGGATAAGTATATAAAGTCCTAATGACTTAAGCCTGAAGAGATTCTACATTTGGCACTGAGTGTTTATAACAAGCAGCTCTTTTCTACTTAAAAACCGCTTGCCTAGATGAGCGACATGCTGTAAAATTATATTCAAACTGCAGTAAAAATATATTCAAGCCTGTTCTCTAATTATATTTACTGAGGTTCTTCAGGCATGGGCAAAACCAAAGTGCAGGCTTATGAATGTTGTGGGCAGCAGTGCTGCTTTTCAGGATTTCACTAAGCTGCTAGGATTTGACAACTGAATTAAATTCCTACATGAAAACCAAGCTTTTATTAAGATAATGTTAATTTTCAAGGTATTTCATCTCTGGCTAAAGATGATGAAGCCTCGTCTGTTGGACTGTTGAAACTTCATTATTTAGAGAACCAAGCAATCCTTTGATAAGGTTGCTGATGGAAACTGCCTTCTTTCTTACTGTGCCTTAGAGCACAAACTCAATTTTGTCTGGAATTGGCATAGTATAACCACGCTACTTCAGAAAGTACAGCCAGCCATACTCTATCCATAAGTAGTATAATGTCATAAAACAATTTCAGATATATTTTTTTTTTAATTATGGCTTGTTATCTTGCAGCACTTCTCTGTGGAAGGGCAGCTGGAATTCAGAGCTCTCCTGTTTGTTCCAAGACGTGCACCATTCGATCTCTTTGAGAACAGAAAGAAAAAGAACAACATTAAGCTATATGTGCGCAGAGTATTCATCATGGACAACTGTGAGGAGCTGATCCCTGAATATCTGAGTAAGTATTCTATTTATACTTAAACAGACCTGATCTATGATCACTTACAAAAGCAGTGTAGTGAGCATGATGCTTTCAAATAAAAACCCCTGGGGGACCAGAACACATCTTTCAATTTGTAGAAACTTAGGCAGCATTCTGAAAAGAATTGGTCACAAATCCACTTTCGTTATTTCTCCCAATACATCTTCAGGTGATTTCGATTTTTTTTTTTTCTAGGGGTACCTTTTGCAAGATATAGAAGCTTGGAAAATGTATGTATGTATTCAGGTGCCTGTATCTTGCAGAAGTTACCCCTTAAATAAAAAAAAAAAACCCAAAAAGTCCTTTCCTGAGACTGTGTATATTGGATAAATAGCAGCACATGATCATGTTTTTGTTGTGGGTGGTGTTGTTTTTTTTTTTTTTAACAGACTTCATGAGGGGGGTTGTGGATTCTGAGGATCTTCCTCTGAACATTTCCCGTGAAATGCTGCAGCAGAGCAAGATTTTGAAAGTCATCAGAAAGAACTTGGTGAAGAAGTGCTTGGAACTCTTCACTGAGTTGGCAGAAGACAAGGAGAACTACAAGAAGTTCTATGAACAATTTTCCAAGAACATTAAGGTTGGTCCTATTGTAGCAAAAATTTGCCCCTGGGGGGTGCCCCCCCCCCCGGTCAAAACGATTAAATTGTCAGTGTTGTGTAACTATGACTAGTAATGCAACTTATTGTTACGTAATGTGTGTAACAATTTTGCTATGTAACACAATTTTAATGTGTGTAACCCTTTGCTAATTCCTTTTCAGCTTGGCATACATGAAGACTCCCAGAATCGCAAGAAACTCTCAGAACTGTTGAGATACTACACTTCTGCATCTGGTGATGAGATGGTTTCTCTGAAAGATTATTGCACACGGATGAAGGAAAACCAGAAACACATCTATTACATAACAGGCAAGTTGATAGCAAAGTGGCTGCTCAAAAGGTTTTGATCATACCTTTAAGTAGCGTTGGCTCCAGGATGGAATAATGATTGGTAACAGCAGTTTTAAAACATGTTTGCAAGATTTGTAGATGCTAAGGTTGGAAGGGACCTCAATGGATCATTGAGTCTGACCCCCTGCCTAGGCAGAAAAAAGTGCTGGGGTCATGTGACTCCAACCAGGTGCTTGTCAGTTCTCCTTTTAAAGGTAAGGGAGAGCACCATCTCCCCTGGAAGATGCAGCAGTTAAACACCTGGTACAACACGCAGCGCATATTCTAGTACATCGTGCATCTAAAGGTGTTCTGTTGCATTTAATCTGTTAGTCACTGTACAGGTGACTTAATGGCCCAGAGAGTTGAACTTGGTTTCAGTGGTGCTTCAGGAAACTGGACCTGCAAATGAAAAGGGGTTCTTTGCCATAAGCACTAGAAGCCTTGTGTTTGAGCCAGCTGTTCCTTCTAGCAGCTTAAGATCCAGCTTGGGATATCCTCTTCCTTCTGGGACAATTGAATGCTGAGAATCTTGCAATAGAGATCATCCATACTTTGGGGTATTGAGGCACAGATTAAAATATCTGGGGCTCTTTTTGTTTATTTTTAGGTGAAACCAAAGACCAGGTAGCCAACTCTGCTTTTGTGGAGCGCCTTCGCAAACATGGTCTGGAGGTAATCTACATGATTGAACCTATTGATGAGTACTGTGTGCAGCAGCTAAAAGAATTTGAGGGCAAGACCCTGGTCTCTGTAACAAAAGAGGGTTTGGAGCTCCCAGAGGATGAAGAGGAGAAGAAGAAACAGGAAGAGAAAAAGGCCAAATTTGAAAACCTCTGTAAAATCATGAAAGATATTCTTGAGAAGAAAGTGGAGAAGGTAAGAATCTGTGTGTGTGTATAGGCAGTCTTGGGTCAACTTTGGTACGAGACTTCTTTCTGCGAACAAATTTTTTAACAGTGGTAACAACATGCATAAAATGCGACTGACTGAATGCCATGTTCTCTGTAGCTAGTAAATAACATGACATAAGTGGCTCGCAGACTATGGCAATCAAATGCCGTACAAACAGCTCACTGTTTGGTAATACCCATTTCCAGGTTGTTGTCTCCAACCGACTGGTCACTTCACCATGCTGCATTGTAACAAGTACATATGGTTGGACTGCCAACATGGAAAGGATCATGAAGGCACAGGCCTTGAGAGACAACTCCACAATGGGCTACATGGCAGCAAAGAAACACCTCGAGATAAACCCTGATCATTCCATCATTGAAACACTGAGGCAGAAAGCAGAGGCAGACAAGAATGATAAGTCTGTGAAGGATCTGGTCATTCTGTTGTACGAAACTGCGCTTCTGTCTTCTGGCTTCAGTTTGGAGGATCCCCAGACTCATGCCAACCGTATTTATAGAATGATCAAACTTGGCCTAGGTAAGTAGAAAGTACTAGCTCTTAGTTGGAATCTCTTTTTGATGCGACTTAGAGCAGTTTCTAATCATTGTGTCTGAA